ATAGCAGGAAAGAACTGGATACAAACCGCCAAGGACAAAACAGCCTGGCATGATTGCGCTCGGCGTGTGGTAAACATGAAGAATCCACACTGAAAGCCCGAGCAATCTTTGAATCTTTGAATTACGGATTTCCCCAGATCGAAATATCACAACCGCGAAGCCTCGACATGTGATCTGAATGAAACTGGGGAGATATCCATGGCAGTCATATGGAAAATGGCCAAGAGGTAGGCAGCGTACCTGACAGCTCAGTTATGATATGTAAGATCTGGCACTGTCGCGACTTGGAATCCAGATCATGGAACTTATCTGAGCAGCAGAAGATCGGGACCACTGGAAAAACGACAGGAATGTGATAACCAGAATATTCGAAATTAACGTGACAGAAACAGAACAGATAAGTCATTAGCTTACAATCTTATGAGAATCCATACCGCTTTACAGCTAAATAGAATTCATAGACAATTTTTTCAGAAAAACTTTTCTATCCGGTCCAGTGTTGAAAAGCTTTAACAGTGATTGGAATGCTTTGATCATATATTGGTAGCCATGAATTAGGGTATAATTTCTAATTCCTTGCAGCATATTTTAAAGGTTTTAGTGCATAAAGATTGAAACCTTACTCATTAACTATAACTACGATCTCACTTGTAATACCTTCCGGTTCCAGAGCATACTGAATGCAGTTTTCAGAAGCCGGCGCCTGCAAAATGAGCCCACCTGAAACAATGGCACACCAGAGTTTGTTAAACATCAGGGTAACACAGAAGGATTCTTAGGATGATAAACACGCTAACAATGATGTTTCGGTCTGTAACACACGGCATTTCTTGAACATCAAATTTTTAAGCCACGGTCCTTCTTTGCTTGTGTAAATAAACCAAGCGCCGTGTCTTTTCAGCATGTCGCAGAGCACGTAAAAACTACTAAATGGCAAGACTCTAACTAAAAACATAACGTCTGCCTTGCAAACAGCTTTCGGTCGTGCTGCATGTCATGGCATAGAACCACTGAACGATTTCCGCTTCTTGACGATGAAAAAACTGAGCTTCGTTGCGAATGCGTATTTCTGCATTAATCCTTGCGCCGTTTCTCAAAAAATTACGCAAACGGCAGTGCCAATGTCGCAAAGTACGACTCGAATCTAACTTACTTTCGATCGAGCGGTTTGTTCTTCGATGTTCCGCAGGTACTCTTTAGGGGGCTGCGAAGAGCCGCGAATGCCGCAGATGAACAGAATCAATATGCAAGAAACAACTGCCACTGCCGGAATAAAAATATGCACAACTTCCAAGAAAGAATATACGGTATCCATGAGGAACTGAAATGAAAACAGCTAAGGAGAAAAGAAAAGAAAAAACACAGCAACAAGAAAATGCAGCAAGCGGTTCGCCGTCAAATAAATTTTGCTTTACGCAATGTCATCACTCGTGACAGGTAACTGTGACAACCGTTCAGCCATATCTAGCGTCAGGTAACGAAGTTAGCGCAAGAACATAGCATGAACTTCATCAGTCGGCGCAGAACTATGTCGATCACGTGAGCGGTGTCGGTCACTCAGACGAGAAACGCACAGCACAGCTTGACATGAAATCGTCGCGCTGCGCCGCAGGATACAGCAATCGACATATCTACAGTTTTTTTGTCATTCAACAATATTCATGTTGACATTTAAAAGGTACTACTGTCCAATAAAAAAAGCAATGGAAATATTAAAACGATTGGAGTACCAGCGTCCCACAAACTTCATGAGCAGCGCCGTAGGTATATACATCTTTCTTAATGCATACTGCACAGCACTGACTCTGTTTCGATATCACTGGTTATCACTGACTGAATAAGGCAATAAATACAGCTATTCCTGCAAACCCAGCGAGAAACCGTTGGCTCAAGATTCTAACTCAGTCTTTCAATTACTTATTCGACGCTAACCGACTGAGTTAACACTCCCATTTATGGAGCACCTCATATATTTCGACGCTAACCGACTGAGTTAACACTCCCATTTATGGAGCACTTCATATATTTAACGCCGTGCCTAAGCCACCCCATGCGGGCACAATCGATGCATGGGATCGCATGCAGCGCGAACTTCAGCGAAGAGTATTTGCCGTCACTGACAAAATAGCCGTAAAGAACAGCCAAGAGCCCTGAAACGGTCGACTTTAGAGGCTACAAGGCTAGGTCTCCTAAAAGAATATTTGACAGAAAAATAAGCAAAGAAAAACGCCATCAACCCTATCAATCATTGAAAAGGAGTATGAGGTAGAATCATACAGTTTTCGAAGAATGGCATTTGGATTAGATAGAACTGTTTATGAAAACTTTCGAAACTTCACTTAATCTGCTGTCTT